GTGTCGATGTGACCTCCGACTCTGTATGCCGGAGTCTGTTTATTTGTGTGATTTATTTGTAAAGAGCATTGACATATCAATTGTACCGAAATGAAGAAGTGCAAATTTATGATCGCTGGAATTTGCAATAGTTCATTATTTGTGTCAATGATTCCACCAGATTTCCCTGTTCTGACAATGAAGCGAATGGGTTATGTTTTAGTATATCTGATCTGGGTATACAACTGCTTATTTGTAAGAAAACTGAAGAACACTTGGATTACATGGTTTCATGTTTTAGCAGACTTGCTTCTTGTTAATGTCGATTGTTATTACTACTATATTACACATACGTCTAGGACAGAAGTTGGCTTTACCAGCAAAATTTAACCTGGCTGGAATCATAGTCACAGATAATGAAATATTACAAATAAAGCACAGGAGCAGACATGATATTTCAAATTTAAACTGACTGAAATTAATAGCATCTATCTTGCCAGTGCAAAGTTTTCTGACCACACATGAGCAGCGATAATAATAAAACAGCTAGGCAAAACTCACCTTCATGGTTTCTTCGTAAAATGGAAACCTATGATGTCAGAATCACATTCTTGAAACAACAGAAAGCACTTCCCTGGCCCCCTCCTGTCCAACACGGCCACTGAGGGTACATAACTTAACTAACTGGCAAGACAAAGGATACAAGAATTATATTTCTATAGAGAAAGGTAAACTTTCTGTATATAAAAAGATATAACAGAAAGCACACAAAAAATCAAAGAATAGTGGATATGAGCCCAGCCCAATATTTCTGTATCAACATGTATTACGAAAAATATGTCCATTGATTTTGTATGCATGGGGTATTAAAAAAACAAAAAAAACATGAGTCCTGAGATAAATCAAAGGAAAGCGTGGGGCCTGAGATAACGATCACGATTCCCTTTCCTCCTCACGCTATGGAAGTCCTCCCCATGATTTCTGCTTACATATTGCCTGCAACAACAGATCTCTCGATCAGGAGCCCAAAGAAGCAACGGGTTTTTCCCGTAGGGTTTCCCTCCACCTCTCCTTCATCCTCTCTCCAGAGCTCGCTGCCGTATCGTCACACCCCTGCACAGCGCCCGACCTCCTCCACCGCAAGTCTCTCCAGCTTGACGTACACATCTGCCGTGATGAACTACCATCATCCTCCATGTCTGCATCACAATCCCTGGTGGCCTCTGCGGATCAATCTGCCAGCATCGCAGTAATGATATATCTCTGTAATTACATCCTATTAACGATTTCACAGTTTTATTTTAGGGTTGCGTGGGGCTATGCCTTCACATATCTCCAAATATATAACAAGTTAAGTACATGTATATACTGCATATACACATCCTATACATGTGATACTCTAAACCCATCTTAACATTCACATGTATAGGGCAACATAGCCACTAGAGGGGATCCAACAAACTGAATCAACATGCTCTGTTTGACCCAAGGAAATTACGAGGATGCTCTGTGTGACCAAGGAAATTCTTACTAAAACATCCAGCTGATTACTTGATAGAATAGTCACGCTAGTGAAACTCAAATAGTTGACTGAACAATTAAACAAAGAAATAGATATTGAAATTTAGTTGAAAAGAATGTCCTGATAGCACTATGTTAAGCAAACATAAGCATAAATGTGCATCCACTTGTGATGTACATGACATAGGAGACGAATGTTAACAGCATGATAATAATACATGCTTGTTTTTTTCAGAAAAACACCGACGAGGGAGCCAAGGATGAGCACACACAAAATATGCTTGAAGGCATGATAACCAATGACGAGGATATGAACCCCGAGTCAACAAAGGCAATACAAGAACAAGAAATCATGGATGATACAGAAAATATGCAGATTGATGAGGTGATACCCTAAGACAAGCATACAAACCCCAAGGCAATAAAGGCGGTTTTTATTTTCCCATGTCATTATTATTCTTATTATGGCGGGACAAAACAATATGTATTTTGTACTACAAATACCATACCTACAATTCTTTACTCACCTTCATAATATTTTCTCATTATAAGTAGTGGATAATATTGTATTATTGTGTGTTCCAGTTACTAAGTCAGGGAGAATCAAATGGAATCCCCGACAAAAAGAAGAGCATGCAGACCACTGATTCCGAGGTGACAGAGGCATCTATTCTTTTCCTACTATGTCCCAAATAGTTCTAATTCTAATCATATTATATCCTACATACCTTGTATTCCTTGTAATGTTGCTCTCAGGAATTAACCTTCAACAAAACAAGTGAACAAATGCAGTCAGCTCAAAACAAGGAATTAGCACAAACATCCGGCACCCAAGGGGCAGAAACTATAGGGGACAAGCTGGCAGAATCAAATGGAATCGCCGACAAAGATGGAGTGGAAAAAAAGAAAAGCACGCAGTCCACTGATTCCGAGGTGGGGCATGCATCTTTTCTTTTCCAACTATGTCCCAAATAGTGTTAATTCTTATTATACTATATATCCTGCATACGGATTATTGGTTGTAATGTTGCTCTCAGGAATTAACCTACAACAAAAAAAGTGAACAAATGCAGCCACCATAGGACGACGAATTATCACAAGCATTCTGCACCGAAGGGGCAAAAAATATAGGGGACAAGCTGGCAGAATCAAATGGCGGAGTAGCCGACAGAGATGAAGTGGAGAAAAGGATGAGCACGTAGTCCACTGATTCTGAAGTCTCTGAAGTGTCACATGCATCTTTTCTTGTCCAACTATGCCCCAAATAGTTCTAAATCTAATCATATTATATCCTGCATACGGGTTCTAAATCTAATCATATTATATCCTACATACGGGTCATTCTTTGTAATGTTGATCCGAGGAATTAATTGACACCGAAAGAAGTGAACAAATGGAGGCACCTAAGGACGAAGAATTAGAACAAATGTCCGGCATGGAACAGGCAGAAATCATAGGGGACAAGCTGGCGATGCCCGCGCAAATAGGGAAGCGTATTCGGCTGCATAACAAACCTAAGAAGGCACAAGACTACGTGGTGCCTCCAAAAGGCACGAAGAAATCCTTCTATGCCCTATTTTTGCTACATTTAATTTCTATGCCCTGCTTTTTCTACATTTATTTTCTTTGTTATTAATAAATGTCGTTACTTACATCATGCTAGATTACGTCTGCACCGGCGATGATTGGTCCGTGATTGAAAATATCATGTCTGAACCAAATGATAAAAGATATTTAGTGAGCATCGATGACTCACATCTCAAAAGACGACACTTAGAACGTCTATTACTCCCCGAAGAATTTGTTGGCGACAAAGTAAGTATATATAGACATGACGATGCTATTTTAACATGAGTTTCTATTCTCTCCTATAACCAAGGTGTGCACTTAATATTGCAGATCATAGACGCATACATACATTGCATAAGTGCTAAAGAGCATCTACAGATGAGGTCAGGTGGAAGTGTGTTCTTAGAGAATGCATGCATCTCTAAGATGATAAAGGAATTTAGCTCTATACGGGATGACGCGCCAAGGTGGGTATTAAACAGAGCTACAACTTATTTAGAAAATGATATGGTGAGTCTTAGTTCCATACATATTACTATGAATTCAATCAAGGACGAATGTTTGTATATGGGACCTAAACTAACAAAAACCCTATTTTCAGATATTCGTTCCAGTTAACATTGAACACTTCCATTGGTACCTGGCAGTTATAAATACAGGGCAACGATGCATCCAGGTGCTTGACTCGCTGGGCCCAGGAATGAGCCGCAAAGACCTCACCGCTATGGTTAGTCATTAGTCCCACTACACCATCTTTTGATAAGACGATTTCTGTTATTGTTCGGTTGTGATGCTAATACATTGTCATTTATTCATTCAACAGCTCAAAGGACTGGAAAATGTATTCGAATATGCATCACTTCAAATGGAACTAAAAAATGATAAGTGGAAAGACTTAAACATCTCAGCATGGCCAAGGGAAGAGTATATTAAGAGCACACTGCAAAGAGAAGGGTATACCTTCTAACTCAAAGGCTCAAAGTAATCGACATTATTTGTATTTTTGTATTTCCCCATTAGTTGCATCACAAAGAAGTTTCTGCACAACAAGAATAAAGCATGGATATGTCAAAGTATACGAGCTGAAAATATACACATATGCACCAATTTGGCGGGGACCAGCAGGCGGCGGGGTCGGAGAGACTAACCTGGACCCGGACGAGCGACGAGAAGCATAGGGAGGGTCCCGAGCATAGCACGCAGAGGTCATCGTGGTGATCCTAATCAAGATGGAGGTCGCGAGCAGCAACTGCTCCTGCTCCTGACCGAAACGGACAGGGTAGACAATATGGGGTCGGAGAGCAGAGCATCCCGATCGAGGGGAGAAGAACAGTAGGAACCGGACCTACATGGCATCCCGAGCAGGGTGGAGAGGGAGGGAAGTTCTTGCCGCGACGAGTGCATCAGCACAAGGGAACCCCGGCGTCGCCGGCGAGCATGCCCAGCTCGAGCGCCCCGCCGTCGCCACGAGGAGGGAGGGCCCCGACGTCGCCGGCGAGCATGCCCGGCTCGAGTGCAACGCCGTCTCCAGGAGGAGGGAGGGCCTCGGCGTCGCCGGCGAGCATGCCCGGCTCGAGCGCCCCACCGTCACCAGGAGGAGGGAGGGGCCCAGCGGCACCGAATAGGAAGAAGGGGCGGGCAGAGCAGGGGCGCTCGCGTCCATCGGCGGTGCTGACGAGGGGGAGGGCGGGGCAAAGCAGGGGCCTACGCGTCCGCCGACGTTGCTGACAAAGGAGAGGTGCGGCCAGCAGAGAGCTTCAGTCGCTATGGATGGGGATCGCGAAGGGGAGGGGTGGCCAGGCTGTGGATTTAGAGGAGTGAGTGAAGAATGGGGAAGCGATAAGCGTGAGGGGGCGGTGGAAGGTTGACTTAGATTTTTTTAAATCTCTATACTATACTACTACTTTTTTTGAAAGAAAGTTCGAGCTTTATTAATTAGAAATAATCATTACATTGTTTATGAGGATTGGTACAATTGCATTATGTGGTTCCTCTAACCCATCAGAAATGAATGAAAATCTAGCCAACTTAGCAAGCTCATGAGCAACTTTATTTGCTTCTCTATTACAATGCTCGAATCTAGAAATAGGAAAATCACAAGCTAAGTGAAAACAGTCATCAAAAATTGCAGCTGCTGCCCCCGACGATCGTCCTCCTTCGTTCATGGTCTCGATCACCTTCATATTATCTGAGTTAATAATTATGCGATTACAACCCGTCCTTTGCGCAAGCGATAGGCCAAATTTTAACGCCAAAGCTTCAACCATCAACACATCTGCACACCAGTCAATCTTACCGTTTCCCCCACTGATGAGCCTATCTTTGTCATCTCTTAAGACAGCCCCGATCGTACCCCTGAGAAGGTCATGGTCAAAATAAGCATCAATGCCAGTGACCCATTGTAAATGAGTGTGGCATTTTTTCCAAACAAAATAAAAATGTCTTTAGATTTCAAAGGGCATGTCCGGTTCACATGCTGCGTGGGTGAGATTTTTGTTTTCATCACGGCTTGTTATAATCATGATCATTTGATGATTTTAAAAAATAATATGAATCCCTTTGAAAATGATAAAAGTTTATGGAGTATATTTTAGTTTTGTAATCATGCATGTCATCTTGTGGTCTGTGGATGATAAATTTTATGGAGTACTTCACAGGAGATATTTTGTCTGACATTCCTACACAGGTATTTTTCATTCTGTATCATTATACTTATTCTATGTTGTATCACTATTTAACTCTTATTACTATTTTAATAGGAACATATGACAGATTTTTGAACAAAACTAGCTGTCATTTTAGTGGACTCGGAATTGAATGATGATAACATAAGAAATCGAGACATGGAAGATGACGACAACAACACAGATCCCACGAAATGTATGATTCTGGATAGACCTCCTGAGAATTTCAAAACATCAAATACATCAGGAGAAGTCGAGCTAATCTCGCAGTCATTTATCCTTTCACCGTTTTTCAATCCAACAAACGATGATTTAATAGATGAACTATGCTTGTTCATCAGCATGGTTGATGATGTCGCTCTACTAGAGTAAGCCATATTTTTTAATTCATTTTGTATTCCAATAAATTACTCTGATGTCATTATAATTGAAAGTATTTCGACTTTACAGGAGCGAATGGGTGAAAAGCTCTGATCCGTACCCTATTAGCTTAAATTTGAGACAAATAAAAACATATTGAACAATGATGAATACATGGATATACATTGCTTTAATATGGCTGTGCGGATACTAGCGCGCCACGAAGTACAGCTTCTCACAGACATTCCATCTCACTATATGTATCTGAACTTTTGTGTAAGTTACTATAATCATGTATTACATTTTTTCTCATTGCACTAATATTTTCTCATTCTTATTTTAGTCGATGTTCCACTATGCATGAGACTCAAGTCATCGTGAAAATGTGGAAATTGCTACATTGAAACGGTTGTTTCATAGCTGGCCTAACAGTAATGATTATCATATCTCATAATGTGATACGGTAAGATTTTAATTTCTCATCTCTAACAGTGCTTTGTTTGGTCTTAATTAATATTCCATTTATTTCTAAACTATCTCATCATTGCAGATTTTATTGCCTTGGTATATGTTTGGGCTATTTCTATTTTTTGTATTGGATCAAAACAAAAAAGTTGTCTCAATTTTTGATCCGATGCCAATACCTACTTTGGGGAATAATGTACTTAAAATTGTGGTCGACAACCTAAACCTTGCGCTTGAAGTTGCAAACCCTGCATTCAAGGTTGATATCTCTAAATGGGAATGCATAGTTCCTGTTGCTCCCACAAATTCACACTGGCATGAATCTTTTAAACGCATTACAATATTAATTGATTCGTTCGACTCACATTATGTGTTTATTTCATACAATAAGTGCCCTGTCCGGTTATTTGGTTTTTAATTACATGCACTCATTGTGCGATGGAAAACTATATTTTCCCATACCCAAGGTAAGTATTGACACTATGCTTATTTGTATACACATTGCACATGCAACTTGTTACAACAATGTTGTATAATGCATATGTAGGATGGTTTCAGTTGAGGAAGCAATTTTTGGTGCATCTTTTAAAGTATGAAGAGAATGAAGCCCAAAGCAATATCCCATACATTGAACGAAGCATCATTGATCGCATCTATAGATGGACCTTCATTGCTTCAAAAGGTGGACCTTCGAGACATGCTTAGTTGCGGTTTTTTAAATATATTTTTGTAACAGTTATAATACAATTATTATGTGACAGTGAATTTTATGCGAAAACATGTTTCTGGATCATGTGTTACACACGCGCTCATATCGTTGTGCATAAGACACATTTAAATGGCTCGGTAAAAGAACTCACTAAAATAAAAATTAGCACGTGTTGGATCAGAAATATTTCACATTTTTCGAAAATACAATTCCAATGACAAAATAACATTTCGGATCGATCTAATTTTTTTGTAAAATTGCATATAAACTTGTTTTATTTGAGACGTGCGTTGCACGGGCATGCTTACTAGTATCTACTGTATTCCAACTTTTCTATGGTTCATACCCCCCGATACTAGCCATAGATTCATCAAAATAAGCAAACAACATGCGAAAAATAGAATCTGTCAAAAACAGAACATTCTGTAGCAATCTGGATATTTCGCATACTTTTGTAACTCCTAAAATCCCGAGAATTTAGGAAGTTCTCAGTAATTTTTTATTAATCTTATGCAAAAAGAGTCAACCAAAACTCGCGTTTATGTAATTTATGAAAATTATTTTCGTGCGTGCAAAAGTTTCTGTTTTTCAGCAAGATCAAATCAACTATTATCGTAAGCTATCCCAAAGGTCTTACTTGGCACAAACACTAACTAAAACACAAAACCACATCTAACCAGAGGCTAGATGGAATATTTATTGCTAAACAGAGCCTAAATAGCAAAAACAAAAATAAAATTGGGTTGCCTCATAACAAGCGCTATTGTTTAACGCCCTTAGCTAGGTATAAAACACGAATAGATCTAAGTATTATTATCTTTGGCATGCAATCCATAAGTGGCTCCCATAATAGATTCATAAGGCAATTTATTTCTTTCTAGGGAAGTGTTCCATGCCTTTCCTTAACGGGAATTGAAATCTAATGCTTCCTTCTTTCATATCAATAATTGCACCAATCGTTCTAAGGAAAGGTCTACCAAGAATAATAGGACATGTAGGATTGCAATGTATATCAAGAACAATGAAATCTATGGGCACATAATTCCTATTTGCAATAATAAGAATATCATTAATCCTTCTCATAGGTTTCTTAATAGTGGAATCCGCAAGATGCAAATTTAAGGAACAATCATCAAATTAACGGAAACCTAACACATCACACAAACTTTTCAGAATCGTGGAAATGCTAGCACCCAAATCACACAAAGAATAACACTCATAATCTTTAATCTTAATCTTAATAGTAGGTTCCAAATCATCATAAAGTTTTGTAGGGATAGAAACTTCCAATTCAAGCTTTTCTTCAAAAGATTGCATCATAGCATCAACGATATGTTTAGTAAAAGCTTTGTTTTGATTATAAGCAGTTTTCGCATGAAGATCTAAAAACTCCAATCATTGGGATGCCTTCTAACTAAAGTTGTCATCTCCAGTCCCATATTTATCAAGATTTACATTGGAAAACAAAGATTCAATAGGAGTCACATCAATCACTTTAAGGTCTTCATCATTATATTCAGCCTCTGGTTTGGCGACCATTTTGTTTACTAAAGTAGCTTGTTTATCAGAGATTTGGCCTACTAAATTTTCATGATGCACGAATTGAGATCTCAAACCATAAAATTCCTTAGACATATCATCAAGTTCTTTATTCATGTAATCCATAAAACTTTTCTGCTCCTTGAGCTCGTTTCTAAAAAAATTGTTATGCTCAAATTGCAAAGACATGAAGCTTCTAACATTATTTTCAATATTGTCTAACCTCCTAAGGTGAAGGTCAACGTTTTTTGGATGAGTCATGGTGACAAGCCAAGCAATCAAACACACGAGCAGACAAAAAGCAAACGAAAAAGGCGAACGAAAGAGTGGCGAAGAAAAGGCGAATCTTTTAGAAAATCATTTTAGAAGTGTGGGAGAGGAAAATGAGAGGTGAATGATGAATAATGTAATGCGAGGGATGAGAGTTTATGATGCGTACTTGGTATGTCTCGGCTTGGCGTAGATCTACCCGACAACGGCGCCAGAAATTCTTCCTGCTATATCTTGAGCTTGCGTTGGTTTTTCCCTTGAAGAGGAAAGCGTGATGCAGCAAAGTAGAGTAAGTATTCCCTCAACTTTTGAGAACCAAGGTATCAATCCAGTAGGAGACAACGTGACAAGCCACCGAATACATGCACAAAAAAACACCAACGTGCACCCAACACGATAAAGTGGTTGTCAATCCCTTCACGGTTATTTGCAAAGTGAGATCTGATAAAGATGGATAAACGGTAAAGTAATATTTTTGGTATTCTTCGTTTATGGAATGGAAAGCAAAAGATTACAAGGAAAATAAATAGGAAACTAAAAGTGTATATCAGAAACTTGTATGATGAAAATAGAAGATTATATGATGGAAAATAGACCCCGGGGCCATAGATTTCACTAGAGGCTTCTCTCAAGATAGGAATTATTACGGTGGGTGAACAAATCACTGCCGAGCAATTGATAGAAAAGCGCAAAGTTATGACGATATATAAGGCAATGCTCATGAATATAGGCATCACGTCTGTATAAAGTAGACCGAAACGATTCTGCATCTACTACTATTACTCCACACATCGACCGCTATCCAGCATGCATCTAGAGTATTAAGTTCATAAGAACAGAGTAATGCATTAGGCAAGATGACATGATGTAGAGGAATTAACTCAAGCATTATGATTGAAACCCCATCTTTTTATCCTCGATGGCAACAATACTATATGTGTCGGTTCCTCTTCTATCACTAGGATCGAGCGCCCCAAGATTGAACTCAAAGCTAAGCACTTCTCCCATTGCAAGAAAACCAATCTAGTTGGTCAAACCAAATCGATAGTTCAAAGATACTTGCAAAGATATCAAGTCATGCTTATAAAAATTCAGAGAAGATTCAAATAATATTCATAGATAAGCTGATCATAAATCCACAATTCATCGGATCTCG